TGGGCGGGAAAAGGGCTGGGGGTGGTGTCATTTTCTTTGGTGACGTTGTTGGCGACTCTTCGGTTTGGTTTGGCATTGCTTTTTTGCTTTTCGTTGCCGCCGATGAAAAGTCAAACACACAGAGCAACAACAAGAAACAGCACTTCTGCCAGACAGTCAGACATTCAAAATACACACATTCATACAATCTATAGGAGGATATACACAAATGTATATATATTTAATATACGTATATGCGGCCCGGCACAGTGGGCCATACGCAATTGTCTTTAAGTGCGAAAAAAAAGAGAACAAAAGATGAAAATCGAATGAAAAACTTGACATTTTGAAAGGAGAATATTTTAAGAGCAAACAGTGAGAGAATCAGCAGCGCGGCATATATATTTTTATTGTTCTCACGCAGAAAAAACACTATATTTATTTTTAAATATATTGCTTAGCCTATAACAAAGGCAAATGTTGGAGCGTGCACACAGACAAATAGCACGGATATAGCCGTATGAAAGGTCTGCCAAATGTGTGAACTTTAAGCTTTTATCGGGTACCTGCTAATAAAAGAGCAACAACCACAATATCGAGTGGGGAATGTAGATTGGGGTGAGGGGGGTGCTAATGGTGGTATTGCTACGATAAATAGATAAGGGCGTTAAAATACAACTTTGTTTTTGTGCACGGCATCACCTCCTCACCTCCCACCGTCCTCAATTAGCAGGAAAATGCATCAGAGAAAGGTGCACACGCATATGCACTGAGCGAAATGAAAGCCGTTCGAAAGTCAAGGTGGCGAAATTTGATTTACGGCCATTTTATTCTGCTATTGTGCGTCATAAAATCACAATTTTATTCTCATCTTGCGTCACAAGACCTTAATTAATTTGGCAGCCGTTCTCGACAATGATATCGTAAAATTCTTCAGAATATCATAATGTATTTTTAAGCATACTTCAACTTGCTGGTTCATTTTATAATTTAAACAAAATACAATTCATTACATCGATGGATTATGTAAATGTTGGTTGGTAATCACTATTTCAATTTGCAAATAATATTGCTTTTCTCCTGTGTACCCTCCGTACTTACTAGGCACACATATACACATACATCTATATATATTTATGGACGTGCCCTGTTTAAGCAACCATTATCTGGCACGGGCCGGAAACACAAGGCAACCTCTATATTGAAGAACAACAAGAACCAGAGTCAGAAGAAAGAAAAGGAACGAGCGGACAGTGGCACAACCAGGCTGTCGAAAGGGGCGGAGGCAGAGAGTTTTCCACTGCAATCGCAGAATTCCAGACAATGTGCAATCAGAAATGCAGGGAGGAGCAGTGCAAGCCAATGCCACGCCCACACTGAAGCACTGTAGCACGATGGCATCATGGCATCACTATAGAAACCAGAAACTGCCAGCCAAGCCTTTCTTTCACCATGACGCCTTTCTCGCTCTGTGTGTGCGTGTAGTCCTGTAAAACCAGCCATAGAACTCAACCCCCAAACACAAATTCAACACAAGCCGACCCGACCCAACCCAACCCAACCCAACCCAACCCAACCCAACCGAATCCAATATGAGACCAAACTAAACTGAAGCCAACGCCAGGCCACGATGACATTGAAAGGGAAATTACATTTCATGTTTATTGTCTTAATAAAAATAATGTTTTCGCAAAAGAGGCAAGACACCCAGGTTCTGCCACCCCCTCGTATCGCACAAATCATTTCGGATTCAATGCAAAATGCAGATAACCAAGACAATCTGTGCCTTTTGTAATGTATTTTTATAGCAAATGCAGCAAAAGCAAAGGAAAGCAGAACAACATTGAATTATTGCTAGCTGTTTCAAGGAGTTCAATTCGATTCAGCTTAATCCGCTTGAGATCTTGATCAATACGTATGATTTATGGCCAAAAAGAGACTTATGGCGATAAAGTAATTGAAAAAAAGGCACACAGTTAGGTAAATTAAAGATAAAAGTTTCTTTGTTCAATTATATTTTGTCTATCGTAACATATTAAATATTTTTAGCTATTCGAAATACAAGAAATTCATAATATTTTGGAGCACTTTTAACCTTTTTTTAACCCACTGTACATCGGTTTCGTTTTCCATACTTGTTTGCTTTAGCTTCCTTTTGCTGGGTGAGCCGAAATTTAAATATTTGACATTTATTAATGTAATGAAAATGTCATTAAATAAACATGGCAAAATGAAACTGGTTAGCCAAATGTGCGCAGTCAACAGCCGAAATGAAAGCACTTGCCAAAACATTCCACCTGCTCGGATATTCCGCAAAACAAAAGAGAAAAAGGTGGAGTACGTAGTACAGTGTACATACACATATACGTATGTGACAAGACCTAGGAATATTCTCAAGCTTGGGGGCAAAATGGGGGGACCAGCATTATAATTTAGCTCCTCGCATATTCGTCCGCAGCATAAACACCTGGACAACACGTGGTTTTTTCGCCACCACCTGAAAATGGCTTTGAAGTGATGTGAGGCAAATTCAGGGGGGAGACAAAGAAATACTTCTTCAAATTGGCTTTCTGGTATTCGACCTGCCCTTCCCTCGCCACCAAGAACCCAACGTGATTCATGTAGTGCCAACATATGTATGTACACCTATTTATGTACAAGTGTTGGCCCCGCCACCGACTTTATCTCCCTGGAGGGATCGCTTTTCTTGTTTTTCCAGACCGGTTTTCCCTCGATGCGTGCCTGGCAATTTCTTTCTTTTATTTCAGATGCCTACTTACGTAAACAATTTGAAAAATCATTGAATATTTAGTATGCTAAAGAAATTGTACAAAAAATAGCAAATGGTCTAAAGGACTAAGTAAGGTACAATTAACGATATGGGTTAATTTCATTTGCATTTCATGTTACCCATAATAAACCGAAACTTTAGGAATCTATGAATCATTGAAACATCAATCACAGATCCTAATAAAGACATGAATAAAACCTTAAATTATTTACACACTGCCTTTTGAATGGAACGAATACCCCCAATCAACTACGAATAAATGCCAGCATATAAACAGCAAAAAAAAAATTCAATTAATACACCTTGAATGTGAAAATAGCTGCATGGGGCTAAATAATGTACGAAACAAAACAAAACCAGCCAAACGTTCAGTTCAGCGAAAAAAAATTCAAAATTCATGAACATACGTAGGTTTTGGTAGTCAGCCAGAGCCAGACGGACATTCAGACGGACGGATGGATATGTAGATAGATGGATGTATGGAATAACGTAGAAAAGGTAAATGGATAGTATGCATAGAATAATAAATAGATGGAACCGCCCGCTCGGGCATCATAGACAAATCCCCAAGGAAGGTGGAAGGCGCGGGTTGCCCAGTGCCATATGTAAACAAAATGCAGGCCACCATTGCCGGTTCGTATCGGGTACGTATCGGGCACGTATCGGTTAATCGGTAAATCGATTCGTTCTGGTCCGCTTCGCTTTGGGTCGGCTAAAGTTAATATAAACAAGCGGGAAAAACCAGAGACAGGCCGTAATTATTGGACCGCATGTAAAATAGTCTAAAGGCTAAACAAAAATTCTTAAAGATAGCCCTCACTAGAACCGAAATGAACTTGATACCCTGCTTCTGCTCCTCTGCTCTCTCCGACATTCGCCGCTGTTCTCTTTCAGCAATTGTGTGGAAAATTGAAAATCAAATGAAATGCGGTCGCGCGAACAGTGGAAAAGCGACGGAAAACCTACGACGAAGCGGCAGGGGAAAAACATAAGCAACAATGTCAATATGGCAGCACTGCAATCCAATCCCAAGTCCATCCAACCGACCCAACAATATGAACTATAAAAGCAACACGAAAATATCGAAGTCCGCTTAACTAGAGGGCAAAACAGTAGAATGCAGCAGAGACCTTGTCTAAAGTTGGAAAATGTCTGGGTGGCTGGTGGGTGGTGGTTGGTGTCCCGTGCAATATGAAAAGAGAATACATAAAGCCGGGCACAGAAGAAATGTGATTGTCCATTTTGTGGTTCTCTTCAAAGCCGAGAACGTGAACGAAATAAAGATTCATTTTTAAGTGCGCGGTCTCAAATATATTAATAGGAACACTCCTTTTCTAATATTGCTGTTAAAATCCATTTGTTACACAAGTTTCGAAATTATCTCTTGGCGCAGAATACCAAAAAAAAAAGAAGATATAAAATCTTAATTGAGCACATGATATAAGCCTGAAGCTCAAAGGTGCAAACGTTAATACATATCTGCAATTTTAAACGGATACTTTTTATTATTTGTTATAAAAACCAATGGTAGGGTATAAAAAGAAAATTTGCTGATTCATCTAAGCCTTGTCTTTTTTTAATTATGATTTTTTAGTTTATAATCATCTTTCTGAGAAACCCGACCAATATGAAGAATTTTCGATGTTTTCAGCGATTTCTTCGATAACTTTACTATCGATTTGAGTCACCTCTTATTAATGCTGTTTGTTTCCGTTATTGCGGCTAGTGGCTAGCTTCAGGATGAACTTGGAAAGGGGGAAAAGTCAGGGTGTGGGTGGATGAGCACCCTCGCCCTTTGGTGGGTGCACTTTTGTTTTGGGCGGCGGGGCAATTAGGGGGGCGGCCAATGGGATAAGGTTAGTGGGTGTTATAGTAAGCCACAAACAATCTGCTGTTTTTTATTTATTCCCTTTCCTCTTGCTCCCCCTCTTTGTTTTGCTTTGTTCGGTTCGGTTGTGTTCTGTTTGCAATTTCTGCTATCACAGCTGCAGTTTAACCATACTTTCCCCATATACATATGTATGTATGTATATTCTCATTATTCTTTTATATTGGGGTGCTACGTAGATGTGTAGATATTATTTGCGTGTATGGGTGTGTGGGTGGGGCAGGGTGATTTTAGGGGCGAGGTACAACTTATAGGTTAAAAGGGCCTTCTTTGTTTATCATTATGCTTATTGTAGGGGGTTTTCTTTGAGTTTTAGGGGGGTTTTCGGGGGGCTGTACTCACCAAGTGATTGAGCATAAATCGCTAAAAATATCGAGAGGAATGAAAGAGCGCTAGCCAAGAATTTTGCCTCCATCTTTGGTATTGATCCGTTGTTGTTGTTGGTTGTTGTTAATTATGCTGCCGATGTGTGGTTGTTGTTGGCGGTGACTTGTTGTTGTTGTCGTTTTCGTTATTTCCTTGTCATTTGCATTTATTACAGATTTGTGAATTTACTCCGTTTAATGATTAATTAATTATTTGTGGTTGTTGGTTGGTTGTTGATGCTGGTTGTGGTGTTTCTTTTTCTTTGCTTTACTTATTTTTTGTTTGTACTTTAAGCTTAACTTACTAAATCATTATGGTAAATATTAATTTATAAATAGATCTTTAAATGTATACGTTATTAGGCTTAGTTATTTAATTTGATATTAGTTGATGCTGTTGATGTTGTTGTTGTTGGTTGGTTGTTTGCTTTGGATCTTCCGTTTGGTGTTTTTGCTTGAGTGCGAATTTTCAATTTTTTGACTCTTCCAGCTTTCCTATTTGGTTCTTAATTCATGAAGCTATTTTCGCAAATAAAAATGTTTAAGAAAATTTTTCATTTTGAAATTATTTTTGTTGAAGGCAAACTTTTCGTGCGCTTCCTCGTATATTTTTGTTGTGTTTTTCGTTCGGTTTTAATTGTATGCTTTTTTCCAACAACAAAAGCAAAAGGAAAAGCGAGTGAGAGAAGAAAACTTTTTAAAATTATACATAAATTTTAAAATTAAGAGTAGACGGGCAGAGGAGCTGAATCAAGGATCCAAAAAAATCGAAAAGATCAAAATCAAAACGAAAGCCGAACGAACAACATTCAACATTCAACTAAATGTATAATTTTTCAAATGTCACAATTTTTTTTTTATTTTCACTGCAGCTAAGCACGTGCTGTTCATTTAAGGGGCCGGGGGGTGGGTGGCCTTTTTTCCTTTAGCCCGCTAATTTAACGTTAACTTTTACAGTTCTTTTTTCACACTCACTCACACAAACGCGCATCTAACTTTTCCCAGTCCAAAAAATTCTATTTCTTTGCTGGCTAAACGGAAAAAAAGAAATTATGGCACGTTGACGACGAAAATACTATTTTTCTGCCTAGCCAGCGAGCAAAAGAGAGGGCGATAGAGGGAAAGCAAGAGAGAGAGAAGGATTCTTGAGACTGAGAGCAAATAATTATGTTTTACACAAGGAGCGCAACAATTTCTAGCTGCTTTTCAGCCAATGGTCATTGTTGTTGCTGTACGTACTTGTACTAGTTGTAGTTGTTATTGCAGTTTTGCTATTATTGCACAACGGGAACACAAAAAGCGAACGAAATTTGGCAAACGGACGGGCCAAAACGAGGCGAACAGAACAGAGCGAACGGAGCGAACGCGGCGAATTCAGCGAGCAGACTGAACCGCACACATGGCCAACAGACGAGAGTAGCCGCCTTCGCCGCAGCGGGCAGCGCTGCCTCTGCCAGCGTCGCTGCGGCAGCGACGTCGACGCACAGTGATTTGGGTTCAGTTTGACATACACTTGTCAGCTTATCTAAATAGTTCGGCCGTTATCTTGACCAGACCGATTACGAGTACTGTACCAAATGGCGACATGAAATCGAGTTTCTAAGACATTTTTCATCGCACAAGAATCTCTTGGGATTTGAAACCGATTTTATTTAAAACAAAATGCAAAAGCTTAGCTATCTTAAAGTTACCAAAAGCATGCTAACATATTTGTAAGATCCGAAACTTGTTCATACCATAAAGTGGTTGAGACTTGAAAAGTTCTCTAAAAATCTTATCTACAGTTTGATAGAAAGCACGCTGCTTTAACACATTTTTCAGCAGAAACAATAAATGAAAAAAACTGAGGAAAAGCTTGATTATAATAAGGGCTATATTATTGTCTCTCACCATATAAAAACACAATAAGACCAGTATCAAGCAAATTGAAATCGAGCAATGATTCAACAAAAATCAAGTGACACTGCGAGTAATTACGATCAATTATTTGACGATCGAAGAAAAATAGCATTCCATTTGCCTCGCCGCATGACGTCCGCATAACCGCTGATAACAATTGGCCCGAGATCTATTATTACTTCTAGAATTTCATATTGCGGATGCGTCGAGAAAACAACTTTTCCACTCTTATCAGTGCGGGAGGACAGTCACTGGGTAAGCAGAGTAGATAAGAAACAAAAAGATAGACTTTTTCACCAGTGCTGACATATTTCATGATCATCAACCTTAAGTGAATAGCAGTACATGAACTTTAAAATTCTTGAACTGACGATAGCGTCAAATTGGCATAAATGTTTGAAAAACACCTAAAATAATAAACCTTACATAACAATTTCAAAGCTGACTAGTTCCTATTCACCCCACAAGAAATGAAATAAAACAAGTAAACATTTTTGAAAGCAATTGTGTTATACAGGAAAACAGCTGAAACTAGTAAAAATAAATTCTCAAAGTTTTGGCAATAAAACCGTCGAATGGACAACGCTAAATCATAGTGCGCTGGATTTTTGTTTACCGCCAGACGACGTGCGGCCCTCAGCAGAGCAGATAGAACGCCAGTTGAACTGTTTCCATAACGTGTCACGAATCCGGCTCTCATTATATCGCATTAAGATAAAGCCCCAATGCAGTACTTTGAACAAATACGGGACTCTGTCCTTCCGTCCGTATCACCACCACAACCACCACCAACGCCTTGGCCACATGATATAATGCTGTAGCGGAGCATGGTCGACAACGACGTCAGATGTCCGCGGCCCAGTCGCCGAGTCCCAAAGACCCAGACCCCAGACCCCAGACCCCAGACCGTCCAAACTGACCGCTCTGGTCCATTGCCATCCCGCTCGCACTGCCGCACTGGTTTCGGGCGGTTCTGTGCGGTTCGCACACGAATGTACATCTCTATGTATCCATCTTTTCGGAAGGCAGGGAACTTTGCTAATTCGGCATGGGTGTTGGATAGATAGGTAGTGGTCTTTGCGGGGAAGCGGCAACGAGGGGGGTCGTCTCGTCGCATTTATTATTGGTCAGCCGTATTTATTTTTACAAATTTGCGAGAGCAAATATGAAATCAGCTGTTTGCATTGCCCGCTGAGATTAAGGCGATCAGGGGGTGTATAGTATTTAATGAGGTGTTTCCAACACCCGTACAGAACATTTTGCCGTGAGTTAATAAATATTAATAAAGCAAGAAGAGTCATAGGAGTTGGCAACACAAAGGTTGCAAACGACAATAAAACTACTAATAATTGGCAAATTTTCCAAAGTTCTTGAATGTTGATAAACATTAAAGCATTGACCAGCTCGAACAAAATAAAACTGTTCATTGCTCAGATAATGTGATTGATGAAATTTTCAATATACCTTGCAGCAATGGACGTTCGTCCATTTTATAATATCTTGACAACATGATGATTAGGATGGAAAATATCAGAAAGCGGCTGATTTCCTTATATCGTTTACGCTTCAAACCTTTAGTTTAGGTTAAGTAATGTATAATCACCTAAACCACTTTATTTATTTTTACTGGTACTAATTTTCCATTAGGTGAAACTTAAATCAAATTAATGGCAAAATATAGAGCAATTTAGCACTCCAATAGGATAGCTGGTGCACGCAAACGTATAGTATAGTTTCAAATTAATTGGAACTTAAATCAGATTTATGGCAGAGTTAGAGCATCCTACACAAACTAGTTTTCAAAGCCGCTTTTTCGGTGACCCAGGGGGGTTGGCGGTGGGGGCGGTGGTGTTGTGCGGCATGTTATCGATTTGGTGGAGAAACAAAAAACATTGCTATCGATTTGCTGTTGGCCTCGAGGTCAATCGAATGCTAAATGCCATGGTAGTTGTGTGCGGGCATTTGTGCCAAACTTTTGTTCCTTCTTTCGCGTTTTATTGGCAAACTTTGAGCATAAACACTTTGGAGACAAATTGCCCTAGCCGCAAGTTAGGCAGCGGACTATAATAGAGCACAAAAGAGCAGCAGCATAACGTCATCGTCAGCCATGACTCAGTTTATTTGCTCTCTCGTACGCTCGCTCAAGAAACCCCCCCACCCCCCCAACACACACACACACTCTGACATTCAAGCGGCACACTCGCACACAAACGATGCTGTTCTAAGCTGAGGCCAAAAATCGAACCTCAGATGACCGATAAAATATTAAATAATAAACGGGCGTGGAAGAGGGGTGCCAATTTAATTGCCTTAATTAAAAGGCTTAGAAAAACACGACTGAGCTCCATCATCATCGCAATCGAATTCACGCGCTTGTCTTTATTTCGCCAATGGGGTTTATTTAAATGTGTGTGTGTGTTGGTGCGGTCATCATTGGTAAATACAGTGAAACCATCTTTAAATCGAAATGGATAGTAAGTAATTACAATCCGGGTTTTAATTTACATAATTGTTAATTTCTTAAGTAGAAACGAAGATTTTCTCGAAAGTAAAGTTGTCAACACAGAACTATGAACTCTAAGAACTAACAAAACCCAAAATACAATAAGCAATAATGAAATAGTAAGTAAATACTGAAAAAAAAAATTAAAATTTCTTGCATTTTTTGGTTTCTTTGAGCCCAAAAACTAACATATAGTAAAAGCCATAATTTGGCTTCCATACAAGAAAAGTATGCTATGAATACGATGTTCTCTTCTCAAAAATGTGTTAGATATCACAATAAAACGTATATTTGAAAAGTAGATTGCTATCGACGTATTGCACCCCACTATGCCCACGATCGCAGGCAGGACTATACCATGGAATTTGACTTGGCCAACAGCAGTGGGGTAACCGCAACAAAGAGCGAGTTTAGCTATTCTGAGCCGCTGTTCATTAGCCGAGAGCCCTCACTGTATCGATGTTGATGTTGATGTTGGTGTGTCATGGCAGGCTGGATGACGTGATTGTCTCCTATCCTCTGCTCTGCTCTTCTCTTCCCCTTCCACGCTCTCCCACTCTCTTGCTCGCTGGCTTTTCTCCTTTCTCTTCGCCCGCATATGATTAAAACGGCAAAACAAGATAAAACTCGTTGGAGCAAAGGAGCTGCTGCCGCCTGCTTGTTGGTTTTGTTGTTGCTGTAGGATAGGCCCTGCCAGTGGGTCAGTGTTGGAAAAGGGTGTGAGGTTGCGGGTGGGGGTGGTGGATAAGTAGGGGGTTGTGGGAGGTAGAATATACGCATGACACTCCTTGCCGCCGCACACACTCACACTTGCACAGATACACCAACACCAGCGGAGCACGCGACACACGCACACGAGGTCACACTCCCCAGCACCCACACACTCGCACGCCTTAAATGTTATTAGTTTATTTACGGTATTAACAAAATGTTATTGGCATAAATAGTGTTGTACATCGTACATTGTACATCATACATCATGCATCACACTGGAGTATGTACAACAGAGCACGGAAAACACCCACACACACACGGAAATGGTTTTTAAGCACTTTTCGGCATTGTAACAGTAACGCGTTGGGGATTTTAGTTACTGTGTTTCCATTTTCATTTCGTTTCTTTTCTTTTGTAGCAAAGGAAGGGGTGTCTTTATCTTTCTCTTTTTCGCTTTCTTCTTGCTTTTTTAGCAGCGATGACGACAGCGTGCGCGGCTCTTTTTCCCAACGCTGCTCCGTTTTTTTTGCCTTCAATAACATTTACACTTTGCACTATTTATGTAATAGTTTTTCAATCGGTGCGCGGTGTTTCATCTCAGCACGATTTTCGGGCACTGGCTGGCGAGCACTAGCCGCAGACTGGGTTACGAATTATGTACATTTTTCACATTTTTCCCCGATGATTTTTCTTTTGTGTTTTACTACCAAAGAAGAGAACAAACTACCAATACACACGCACGCACTCTCGCACACACACTCACTGGGCACGCATCACACTGACACACACAAACACACATCCCACCGCTCAATGACGAAATTCTTCGCACAGCGTTGACAACTCTAGGTTCTAGCTCTCCCAGCTCCACTGCTTTTGCTTCTGCTGCGTGTGCGAGTGTGTGTGTGTGAGAGAAAGAGAGAGCGAGAGAGAGATAGGGTACTTGTGCTGGTGTGCTTTTCGTCATAATTTTTGCGTTGGGCAACCCAGCACCTTTGACTTCTTGTCGACTTTTCACAGGTAAATGACCGAACAGGCTCACACTTTCATCACTGGCACACGGACTGGGCCTTAAACCGATCGACTTTGCACAATTTTTTGCATTTACCTAGCACACAAAACACAAAAATTCGATTTTTTCCTCGCTGATATTTTCACGCGAATGACCTTACATCACATGCATACAATACACACACACACAGACAACTGAAGCGGTGGTATGACCAAAGCTTGCACTCTAAAGGTAGCTAAAATACTGTGCGATATATACTAAAAGGCAGCAAAGCGCCACTACTCAACACTGGTGCTGAGCGTATGAAGTTTTGCCATCTCTTTTCCACTCCCAGGATAAGAACTAAATTCCCATAGTCTAAACATTTTTTTTTTGGGAAGCACGTAACAAATATCTGGATATTGCCTTAAGGTACATTCCCGGAAAGTCCGTTTCATGTTACTGTTTCGTGCTAAAAAAAACGCCTTTATACTGATACATTTTTTAATAAAGTAAATTACAAGTTAATATTGTCAGCTGTTTAGTAAACCATTTTTAGTCTTTCGAAATTTAGCTATTAGCTTTCACGTTTTTTGTTGTCTGTGATCTAAGGCACGAAAAACAATTTTTACATCTTAGCAAATTCAATTCGCAGTGCGACCGTTAGTTTCTCAGTGTCCTGGCCACACCTGGAATCCAGTATTACGCCACTCTCTGTGAACGGTCACACTACATCAGTCATCAAAGCGGGTGTGGATCGCTGTTGGTTTTGTGTTGTTTCATTTTTTCGACGCTTTGAGTTCCCGAGTTAGTTTTATTTACCTTTCTGTTGATTAATAAAATGTGCATGGCCCACTGATAGCCAGATCAGATCGATTTCAGTACTGAGGTAAGTAGAAATGGGTTTGCGGACCTCTTTCACTTGGCGACCCGCCCAAATCGTGTGTTTGGCCGTCTACAAAATTCCTAAGCCAGTGTTATTGTGTTGCTGTTGTTGTTGGCACATGGGCGTTGACCGAAAACCGAAGAAGTGCCCTAAATATTGGTTACAGCATTTGGCGTTGTGCTCTATCGTTTAAATAGAATTAGTAATTGTGAAGGGAGTTCTTCGTTAGAAGCTCTTTGCCCCTTAAAGGAAATGTGAAGCTGGCGTTTTTGCCACCTGCTGGCCAGTTGGATTGCGGCGTCTTCTTTCGTTTTTCTGCCTTCAAGCTCTCGAATTTCGCCAACAGTTGCTCCTTTAGCCGCCCAAAATGTCCTGCCTGCTGTTTCAATTGCACTTTTGCCCTCTCAACTCATTTTGAATGGGTCTTCTCGGCTAATTAATGCCCACTTTACTTGTGCATTACGCTTTTGGTTCTGCGCCCTCTTGCACTGAAAAAAAAATATTGAAAAGTTATAATAGAAATTTTATACCATGCCAGACTAGAACAAAAGTAAACTACTCATTTTGAAAATATTTATATTTTGTGCTAAATGTTTTAAAATATTTTTCATACAAATATATAAAAAAATTATATGTATATATATTTCGAAATTTAAAGTAAAAATCCCATTTCAAGGATTTAATTATTTGGAATGGTGTCAAATATTATTGCCACAGTTGGTAAAGAGTTCTTCTCTGTGTAGCCGTGCGCAAAGGGTGGATTACACGCAGCGCCGTTGAAATTATTACGAGTTCGGTATTTGTTTTCACCGACGAGAGTAGAGACCCCTATAGGCCAGTAACTTCTGCTGCTTCACTGCACAGAGTATCTCGCCCAGGCCCATATAGACACCCATATCTATGGTCAGGTAGCCGGCCGTTTCATTTGCGTGTTTCGCTCAGTTCCAGTGAGCTGCTACCTTTACCTTCACTGGCTCGCCAGTGAATGCATTTCAAATGCAGACACACACACACTCCCTCCATCCTTCAGTTTCATTTCACCTCACTTGTCTAGAAGTCGGTGCCCATTGTTCTCCTGGCGTGGACCCTTTTCGTATGGTTGCCTTTAAGCGTTGACTTTTTAGCTAGCAAAAGAAGTTAATACCTGAGTAGGGAGGATTTGGAGGTCCTTGCTCGAGTGATTCCCTGTGTGCCGGCTGATTGTGTGCTGATAAGCCGGTATACTAAAATATGCGCATTTTGTAATGTTGCACACATGAAAATTAATAATATTTAAGAAGAAAAATGTCGAGCGTTTATACTGAAAACTTGAATTGAATTGTAATAAACATATTATTGTGTTCATAATTCCGTTGGTGACAAAGTGGTTTGTCAAGCTGTGATTTCGTAATCTCTTCTAACTCAACTATAAATAACGAAGGCATTAAAAACGCACTGGGCAGATGATTTGAATGCCCTAAATCCCAGCGTGGCATACATCTCCGCTGTCTAATTGCGCGCCCACTTGAATGACATTTTACTTAATGTTTGACATAGTTTCCATAGTGCCGCTTGCCCCTTGAAATACGTCTCCCTGAAGATACGTTCATTGCTCCTGCCAGATCGCGTCTATAGTCTATTAATACCGATGTCGGCGCCCTCATTAACGACTTGTTCGCAGCACGCGGAAATCAACCAACCAACAACAATCCTCGAACATGAGTTGCGGTCCATGACATGGGGATTAGGGTGTTTTAAAAATACATATATTCCAAAATTTTAAAAAATCTTAAATACTTAAAACAAAATGTTGGAAGGAGGTTCTTCAGAAATTTTTAAAGCGCACCTTATTTATGGAACTTCAAAAAATATATTTTATTAATCCTATGTCTTTAACGAGAACTCGAAACTTTGTCTTGCAAAGCATTGATACACCCTATTCGCCAGGCATTAAAGAACAGGCCAAATCAGAATCCTCTATTTATAGTATTGGGGAGATGCAGTTATACTCAGCCATTCTAATTTATTCACTTTTCGCTGCTCCTCAGCAATGATGTGGCACTTGCTGCACGCCCTGCTCGTAGTAGCCGCCGTCTTGGATGCACTGCAACCGGCGGTCGGACAAAGCGACACCTACTACAACCCCAACCAAAACCAGCAGAGTTCCCAGCAGCCGCTACTGCCCAACCAGCAGTGGGGAAACAACCAACAGACGAATCAGTATAGCAACAACAACCAAAACATTGGCCAAACGAATCCCAACGATCGCCCTCCGTACAGAACCGATTCGGGGAGCTACAACGATCTTGCTGGGCAAGATGACTATAATAAACGAGTGGGAGGAGGCTACCAGGATAACGAAGAGCCGAGTCTGACTCGGGGAAAGTCGTCCTATAACATCAAGGCCACCTTCCTGGAGTCGCTGCATTCAAGGGAGCCCACATACTTCATTGTGGCCTCTCGAATGGTCAGGCCTGGTCTAATCTACCAGGTGTCTGTGTCCATTCTTCAAGCTCAGTACCCGATAACCGTTCATGCTAGCATCGCCTGCGATGGTGTCCAAATCAGCGGAGACTCTAAGAATGTTAAGGAGGGCATACCGGAGACGCTGCTCATGAGGATCCCACCAACCAGTGTGACTGGAAGCTATAAGCTTCGAGTGGAAGGTTTCTACCAGAATGTATTTGGTGGCCTCGCCTTCCTGAACGAAACAAGACTAGACTTCTCCCAGCGTTCCATGACGATATTTGTACAGACCGATAAGCCCCTTTATATGCAAGGGGAAACTGTGCGATTCAGGACCATTCCGATCACCACCGAACTCAAAGGATTTGACAATCCCGTGGATGTGTACATGCTGGATCCAAACAGGCATATTCTTAAACGTTGGTTGTCTCGGTAAGTGGAAGTTTTATTTTACAACAGTCTAAATATAAAACACAAAGTGAAGTTTATTAAAAAATGTAAATGCAAATAACCAAACTTTACCTGTGTAACTTTCAGTCAATCAAACTTGGGTTCCGTTTCACTGGACTACAAACTGTCGGATCAGCCCACTTTTGGTGAATGGACCATCCGTGTTATTGCTCAGGGACAGCAGGAGGAGAGTCACTTCACCGTGGAGGAATACTATCAGACCCGCTTCGAAGTGAATGTTACCATGCCTGCCTATTTCTTCACCACGGATCCGTTTATCTACGGAAGGGTGATGGCAAACTTTACCAGTGGTCTACCAGTAAGAGGTAATCTCACAATCAAGGCTACAATCCGGCCAATTGGATACTTCAGCAACCAAGTCCTAAATGAAAAGTATCGTCTGGGTCGGTCACCCTTGGAGCAACTTAACCGATACAATGAACGATGGCGCTACAATAATCCCAACCAGAATCCGCAAGTGCAGTATAATGTGCCTGGACAACTGCCCCAGGACGGAGCAGATCTGTCACAGGATATTCTGTACAGGAATCAATATGTGGTCGAGCGACACTATCAGTTCGACGAGGAGTGGCCATTCTGGGTTAGAAAACCTGAGTATCACGATAGCAGCTACGAGGCGTGGAGTGGAACTTATCGAAAGACCCTACCCTACCTGCGCTATTTCAATGGAACCTTCGACTTCAAGTGGCCATTAAGAGAGCTAGAGCTGCTGGTGCCCAATCTGGCCAACTCGGAAGTGTTGATCACGGCCACAGTTGGGGAGAAGTTCTACGATGAGATCATTAGTGGTTACTCCGTGGCCAGGGTGTACAATTCCAGTCTGAAGGTGATATTCCTTGGCGATTCTCCGCAGGTCTTCAAGCCCGCCATGCCATTTACCACATATCTAGCTGTCGAGTACCATGATGGTTCCCCAATTGATCCAAACCTATTACGCCAGGGTTTAATGGAAGTCTCTGGTTTCGTGGAAAGCCGCAATGGCGGCAGGAGGGACTGGCCCGCCCAGCGATTGCCCATGTCGCAACAAAGTGATGGCATTTGGGAGGTGAAGATAGACATCCGGAATGATCTGAACCTGGACGATCGCCCGCAATCAAGAGATTTCTTGAACGGCATTCAAAATATGCGCTTGCACGCGAATTTTGTGGATCCGCGTGGTGAACGCATTCAAACGGAGCTTCTTTTGGTGTCTCACTATTCTCCCAGAAATCAGCACATCAAGGTCACCACCAGCACAGAGAAACCAGTGGTTGGAGAGTATATAATCTTCCACATCCGTACGAACTTCTACCTCGAAGAGTTCAACTATCTCATTATGTCAAAGGGCGTTATCCTGGTGAATGACCGAGAAACCATTACAGAGGGTATCAAAACCATTGCTGTGGTTCTGAGTTCCGAAATGGCACCTGTGGCTACTATGGTAGTGTGGAAAATTAACCAGCAGGGACAGGTTGTGGCCGATTCCCTCACCTTCCCGGTAAATGGCATCTCCCGGAACAACTTTACTGTATACATCAATAATCGTAAGGCGAGGACCGGAGAAAAAGTGGAGGTGGCCATCTTTGGAGAGCCTGGCTCGTATGTGGGTCTTTCAGGCATCGACAGTGCCTTCTATACAATGCAGGCCGGCAACGAACTCACTTACGCCAAGATCATCACTAAGATGTCCAACTTCGACGAGCAGACCAACGGAACTTATAAGCACATTTGGTACTCTCACGAAGGCAATCCCGACGAGTTGGTGTACTTCCCCGCCTCGTCCTTTGGTGTCGATGCAAACCGCACTTTTGAGTACAGTGGATTGATCGTTTTTACGGATGGTTATGTACCCAGAAGACAGGATACCTGCAATCGTACATTGGGTTTCGGGGAGTGCTTGAGTGGACGTTGCTATCGCCTCGAGAAGCAGTGCGATGGTTTGTTTGATTGTGATGATGGAACAGACGAGATCAATTGCCATGTGAGAAATGACACAGAGCTGTTGAACTACAGAAAATACCGATTTAATCGCGTGCTGCGGCATTATGAGAATGTATGGCTCTGGAAGGATGTGAACATTGGACCGCATGGTCGATACATCTTTAATGTGGAAGTTCCTGATCGTCCCGCCTACTGGATGGTTAGTGCGTTCAGTGTGAGTCCATCCAAAGGCTTCGGAATGATGAACAAGGCCTTGGAGTACGTTGGAGTCCAACCCTTCTTCATAAACGTGGAAATGCCGGAGGCTTGCAGACAAGGCGAGCAGGTGGGCATCCGTGTCACTGTATTCAACTATATGGTAACTCCCATCGAGGCCATTGTTGTGCTGCACGGCAGTCCGGACTACAAGTTTGTGCACGTGGAGGAGGATGGCATCGTAAGATCGTATAACCCCAGAACCAGCTTTGGTGAACACCAATTCTTCATCTATTTGGAGGCCCAAGGCACCACGGTGGTTTACGTGCCGGTGGTGCCTCAGCGTCTCGGCAATGTGGATGTGACTTTACACGTGGCTACTTTGCTTGGAACTGATACAATAACACGAACACTGCACGTAGAGTCGGATGGTCTGCCACAATATCGTCATCAATCCGTGCTTCTTGATCTCTCGAACCGTGCCTACGTCCTAGAATACATGCATGTTAATGTAACCCAAACGCCAATAATTCCATACCAGGTTGATCGTTACTTTGTGTATGGCTCAAACAAGGCTAGGATATCGGTAGTGGGCGATGTGGTGGGTCCCATCTTCCCCACCATGCCCGTAAATGCCAGCTCCTTGCTTTACCTGCCAATGGAGTCTGGTGAGCAGAATGCTTTTAGTTTTGCCGCCAATCTCTACACGATTATGTACATGCGATTAATTAATCAGCGCAACAAAACGCTGGAGAAGAATGCCTTTTACCACATGAATATTGGCTATCAGCGGCAGTTGAGCTTTATGCGACCCGATGGTAGCTTCTCACTGTTCCGTTCCGATTGGAACAACTCAGATTCGTCTGTATGGCTGACCAGCTACTGTCTAAGGGTGTTCCAAGAGGCCAGCTTCTACGAATGGGAGAACTTCATCTGGATCGATGCCACCATTATTGAAAAGAACATGCGATGGCTTCTCCAACACCAGACGCCACAGGGATCCTTCTACGAGGTCACGTGGCTGCCGGATAGGAAGATGAACCGCACAAACTTTGACAAGAACATCACGCTAACGTCCCATGTACTCATAACTTTGGCCACCGTAAAGGATATCTCTGGCACTCTGGGCTCTCGAGTTGCTTTGGCCACCCAGCGAGCCTTGGCGTATATAGAACGAAATATGGACTTCCTGAGACACCAAGCGCAACCTTTTGATGTGGCCATTACAGCCTACGCCCTTCAACTTTGTAACTCCCCGATTGCCGAAGAAGTATTTGCCATTCTGCGACGCCAAGCCAGGACTATAGGCGACTTTATGTACTGGGGTAACAAGGAAATACCGCAACCTCCACGCAAGCTGGAGAATCAAAAGTGGTTCTCGCTGCCGCGCCTGCCTTACGAATATGACTCACTGAATATAGAGACCACCGCCTACGCGTTATTGGTTTATGTAGCCCGCCGTGAGTTCTTCGTGGATCCCATCGTGAGGTGGTTGAACTCACAGCGCTTAAACGACGGCGGATGGGCCTCCACCCAGGATACCAGTGCAGCACTCAAGGCTCTTGTGGAGTACACAGTGCGGTCTAGGCTGCGCGAGGTTTCCTCGTTGACCGTGGAGATCGAGGCCTCTTCGCAGGGCGGCAAAACACAAACCCTTTACATTGATGACACGAATCTAGCAAAATTGCAGAGTATCGAGGTAAGATGCTTTATAAAATGTCTATTAGATTGTTAGATCTAGATTTTACCAATGTATTTAAAAACATATCTTCTCCTTTTCAGATTCCGGACGCCTGGGGCACCATCAAGGTTCAGGCTAAGGGTGCTGGATATGCCATCCTTCAGATGCATGTGCAGTACAATGTGGACATTGAGAAGTTCCAGACCAAGCCGCCAGTGCCAGCCTTTGGACTACACACCAAGGCAATCTTCCACGGCAGGAATCAGTCGCACATCTCTTATGTGGCTTGCCAAAAGTGAGTTTCTATTGGCACTAAATGCGTATTGCCATTGGGCATTGTATTGAGTTTGTAAATTTCTAGTTGGATAAACCAAAACGAGTCGGAGCGCTCAGGCATGGCGGTTTTGGATGTGGCCATACCGACTGGCTATTGGATACAACAGCAAAAACTCGACAGTTATGTGCTCAGCAACCGGGTCAGGAATTTGAGAAGGGCTCGATATCTAGAACGCAAGATTGTCTTTTACTTCGATTATGTAAGATACAAATGAAATTTTACTATTATACATTAGTATCAATGTTGAATCTTGCTAATTTCTAACAGCTTGACCAAGAGGATATCTGTGTGAACTTCACCATAGAGCGTTGGTATCCAGTGGCCAATATGTCTCGTTATCTGCCAGTGCGGATTTACGACTACTATGCACCGGGTATGTAAAATCTATAAGCAATCCTAGTTAGTTTTCCAGCAACTAAATAAAGTAAATTGTATATAAATCTTATTTTCTTCTATGATTACAGAACGGTTCAACGAATCAATATTTGATGCCCTGCCCACATATCTGCTGAACATTTGTGAGGTATGCGGCAGCTCTCAGTGTCCGTACTGCTCCATCTACAACATGGGCTGGCGCGCCTCCATGTCCATGTCCCTGCTCTTCTTCAGCGTGTTCATATACCTACTGCGAAGTCGCACGCACCTGGTCTTAAACATGATGCAACTGCTCACATAGAAAGGAATGAATGCTATTCACAAAATCACCATCGAAACACCTTGCTAATATTCGTAGTGTTTTTGTTCATTTATTGAGTGTTTACTTTTTAGTTTTTTGTTTTGAGTTGTAGTTTTTTGTTTGCCAACGAAATTGCATTCCGTCCAAAAATGCTGGTCAACATTTTGGTTATATTTTTAGTTCTTTTCAATTGTACTCCCCGAAACTGACCCGCTGTAGAATCGAATGTACAAAACAGCAGTTAAACGTATATTAATTTTTATTTTTATTGCTGAACAAAGAATCTTCTGCCACCCGTAGCAGACCACATATAGCCACCTAATGTATCTTGTAAGTCGTAACGAACCACACTATGCCTTATCATAGAGCGGGCTCCAAGTGTGGAATGAAAAATCAATCAATGTGTCTTTCACAAAATGCCTTTAATAGATTTTAGAAATCATTAGCAAATGTATCTTGACAAAAGTTTTGCATGCATATCGAATGGAAATTTATCTAATTTGTATAATCTAACTCTTGAATATTTGTAAACGAAATGAAGAGAAACGTTGAGAAAACCGTCCAATTAATTTATGCAAATAATGAATCTGCATAGTTTGTAAGTTTTATACGTATATACCCTCCATATGAACCACAATTAGTCTTTAAACTCCCTACACAAATCTCACATAGCCATGTACATGAAGCTAACTAAGCGAGGAACTGGGAAATGTTTGTACACAACTTAAGAATGTCGCTCCTTCCCGTACCATAAGAATCGAAACTCTTTGAAGTGTCTTGTGTTTTCTTTTGTAATAAACAAAAACTGAAAATAAATAAAAATAAAGTTTACCATATTCAGTTTTTATTTGTTGGAATGTTGGAAAAGGTCAGAATTAGTGGATTCGAATGAATTATTTTTTCTACGCTTTGGGTCCAAAAACGTATTGAAGTTTCATTGCATTTAAATTTGTATAAAAATTTTTCATAGTGAGATAAAGGAAAATATATTTCAGTCCACAGAGTAACATGAAATGACTTTCATGTTATATATATTTTGAAATATACAAATTTATTAAGAATTATAAAAGTTAGGGCGTTAAAAGGCCGAAAGAAATCCTATAATTAACATGAATTTACACACGAAAACATAAAAAGGATTATTTGGAATAAAACTAAGCTAACTAAAAACATTTGGATGTGTAAAGCCGACTACGTTTTACGAAAACTTAGTAAAATAGGGGATATCGCCTCCAGGCAGTCCATAATGTCCTTGCGCGACTTGGCGCCCGTAAATACAACCTTTCCATTGACGAAGATCAGGAGAACGATGCGCGGCTTGACCATGCGATAGATGAGGCCTGGAAACATCTCCGGCTCGTAGGAACTGAACTGACCGTGCACGTGGTTGAGGTTTTCCAGGCGGATGGGGAAACGCAGGTCCACGGTAGCCACAATGTTCTGCAGCTTGTACTCCATGAACTTTACGGGGAATCCCAGCTTCTGCAGGATGCGGGCGAACTTTCGGGATCCAATGTCCGCCTCGATTTCGTTTCGGGCACCCGTGCAGATGATCTTGCCCGTTCGGAAGATCAGGGCGGTGCACCTGGGCGAGTGCATCCGCATGATGACGCCCCGGAAGCGCTTGGGCGAGTACTCCGAGTTCCTCGTGCGCGAGTTGATTGCCTTAAGGTCCAGTTCACAGTTCACCGAGAAGGTCGCCACGATATTCCTGCAAGTTATGGATTCATCAATGGATTTATATTCATTTCATGAAGTGCCCCAGAAAATTCGTCAACCAACTGCAATCGAATCTCATGCTGTGCATCCTTGGGCTCCACCAGGGCAACTGGCTGCTGAGGCTGAAGGGCGGCGTGCGGATTGGCGCCAGCGTTGCTGGACGCCGCCACATTATCCCTCTCCCTTTCAGCGTCGGCGACTTTGAAGTGAAATTGCATCGCCAAAAATTATAAACAATTGCACACGCGACGTGGCCAGTGTTTCCCTATTTTATTGCTGAAAAATTTATAGGCCGGCTTGGTATTTTTATTTGGCAGCGGTAAGCGGTAATTTTTCTGATTAGTTAAAAGCCAGCACTGGTCACACTGGACGCTCTTAGCTTGCGAAAATTGTAAACAAAATTAATAAAACTGAAAGCGCACAATATAGTTTAAAGTATGGGAGTAACTGTACTGCAACCTTATCCCTTGCCCGAGGGCAAATCGGGTGCGCACATAATCGATCAGCTAAGCAAGCGTCTGCTCGCACTGGGTGCCACACATGCCGGCCAATTTCTGGTGGACTGCGAAACGTTCATATCGACGCCACAGCCGCACAATGGAGCACCTGGACGCGCCGTTCACGTCCTGCACAACTCCGAGTGTCCCGCCTCCACATTCTCCATCATCGACAACGGCACCGGCAAACAGGTGGCCATTGTCGCCGACAACATCTTCGATCTGCTTATGCTCAAGATGACCAACACCTTCACCTCCAAAAAGCAGACCAAAATCGAGTCCCGTGGCGCTCGTTTTGAGTACGGCGATTTTGTTATCAAACTTGGATCCGTCACCATGATGGAGCACTTCAAGGGCATCCTCATCGAGATCGAGTACAAGTCGTGCGTGATTCTGGCCTACTGCTGGGAGATGATACGCGAGGTGCTCCAGGGATTCCTCGGCATTGCAGTGGGAAAGGACTTCCCATCTTATTTCGCTCCGCAGACAATAATGACGGCAATGGGCCAACAGCAGCTGCATGCCAAGCACAACGACATCTTCGAGCCAATGGACACTGTGAAGCAATATCTGGAGCAGTTCACCAACTACAGAAAGCATGTGGCTCTTATGGGGGGTATGGGCAGTGGGCCGGGTGGCCAACAGGTTGGTCCGAACGTGCATATGTCTCCTTCGGTGGCGGGCCTGCATCGACCCTGATCCGCCGACGTCAAGGTGGAGCCACCAGATGGAACTGAAGCCGATTGAGTTGATTAAGACGAGATATGTATGTAGCTTAACATCAACATAATAAATTTCATCAATAATTAAATAATAATTAAATAAATAATGATTTAAATATTAGGAGTCAATAAATAATAAGTATTATTTGACTCGAATTATTATATTGTATTTTATTATTATATTTAGCATTTGCGGATACATATTGGAAATCATATTTTAAATGATATATAATATTTTCTGAGCTATAAAAATAAACAAATCACTTATATTACCAGTTTTATAGCTTTTTTATATAATTATAATGTTTATTCCCCAATATTTTTTAATTTGTTCTTAAAACATATGATTTACAGCTGATTAGAATGGGGCTTTCAACAGTAATCAAAGCTGTGTGGCATCCCTGGCCGCACGGCATTTACACGTCAACCGAATCTGGCCACACAGTAGGCCGAGTACTTTCGGGCAAATTTACGACAATTTAAACAATAATGTCGGCCCACAGCGGTGGAACGGATTGGAATTCCGTTGTTAAAGCCCTGCTACTGAACCGTACAGGAGCCTTAAATAAAAACGAAGTGGTTAACTTGCTCAAAGCAATCACGCGATGGTAAGTACGGCCCGTCCAGAACTTTTCGCCTGACGAATGGCGCAGTGAAAAATATTTTTGGGTACTACTGCGAGTGCAAAAAGTGACTTGCAAAATTAAATATGGCCGCCCCGGTGACGAAACAACACAAAGCTTTGAAAATTCGACATTTTCGAGAACTAACAGTGTTCTACTCCGTTATTTGTTTAGCGAACATGATTTTTTCGAGGAGGAAAGCAATTTCACGCAGTTTTACACGGCATTTGCGGCACTGGCGGCGGACAAACTTATGCAAATCAAGACAAGTAAGTGCACCCTAATGATTTTTGCCAAAAGAAAACAAAACAAAGAAATGTTTGGCCAAGAATCGAGTGATTCACTTGTGCCATTCGCGTTCCTTACATTCATACATATGTACATATATCATTTTCTGGTTTTACAGTTTGCCAGACGCAGATTTGTCAGCTGCACGATGCAACCGCAGTGCTCATCCGGTTTATTATCTACAGACTGCCCAGGGTGTCCGTCTACGAGACCAAGTGGCTCCTGGGTGCCCTCAAGATGCTCTGCGAGGGTCGGGAGAACCCTACATCCGCGTCGTCGGCCATGTTCGACTACAATGCGGTGGCCAATGTGCTCAAAAGCTGTAAGCATCCCGAGTCCACCACAAAGAGCATCCTGCCCACCAGCAGTTCTTCCGGAAGCGGAGCCAGCAACGACAAGGAGTCGCCCAAGTCGGAGATTAAGCGATCCCGGTCGGACCTGTCTTCGGTCATTCTGCAGCAACTGATTGCTCCCCTAGAACCCGGCAAAATGACTTGGGTTCCACTCAGCGAGGAGGTCACCGACTGCACGGTGAGTAAATAATTGCTTCTCTTGTTTTAAATGCTTCTTTCAGATCGGTTTAATTTGATTTTCGGTGTAAGCTTTAAAGTCATATTCAAGCTATAGAGTAGGTTATACAACTTTCAATGCATATACACTACATAACTTAAACAATAGTGTAAACCTAAAAGCAATATTCAACCTAATGTAAATATTTATCAGACGCGATAAAGTGATGTCGAGTTTTAGCTCAAGCCACATTACCACGTTTAAGACTATAAGCAACCTTATAAGCAAATGAATATATTCTTATAAATAAGAAACGCAATATTAAAAGCGAACTTATTTCAGGAACAAATCCTGGCGGCCAATGTGGAGTACTTCCAGGAGCAAAATGGAGTGGATACCCTACTGGATGTCTGTGTTAGCCTGCCCATACTAAATCGATACCGATCCAAATATATGGAGACCATCAACGGCAGCAAACCGCTTTATTTGCCTCTAACCCAAGTGGAGGCCACTGCAGTGAAATCGAGCATGAATCACATGCTTACTGATCTCACCATTCTGAGTCAGGCCCAAGCCTTGATCGAGATGCAACCACTGATTCCCAGTAGGATTGCACGACTCTCAATGTGTGGCATTGCTGCATTGTACAACGCTGTGTTGACTTCAATAGCCAGCAGTGTTCTCGGTATGACCCAGGCCAGCAGCTCTCAGAAACAGACTGCATCCACTAGTCAAGGAAGCGGAGGAGGAGGTTCTAGTGGTGGGCAATTAAACAAAGACCACGACGACTTTGAGGATCAGGCCTGTAGCATAGTAAACAAGGCTTTAGAGATCTACTCCAATATTGGTGACATGTTCAAGGCTTCGGCCAGGATCCATGTGTATCAGAATCATCTCTGCTATGGCAGCTGGCTGCTTATTAGCGGTATACAAGGAGCAATGGGCGCCTCTGGAAGTGGTGGGTCTAGCTCGGAGGCAGCATCCAAATCGGCAGCAAAAGCAACCAAATCTGGAAGTGAGGCTGGAACCGCACCTACTACACCTATTGCCAGAGTCAATCTTTTCAAGGTTCAGCAAGGATTTGGAGAACTCAATGCAGCTATTGCCAACCACAGCATTAAACTGCTATCAGAGCTAATCGAAGATCTGAAGATTGAATCCGCATGCGGACAGAGTCTCGAATCCACAGAACTACCGGAGCCGGCACAGTTCGATATTTTGCAAAACTACAGTTCGCTGGAGAGGATTGTACGCGTGCTAAATACAGCCACTCTGCACCAACTTTTCACTTTTCTGGCCACTGTGGCTTATCGCAAGGCCTGCACCTTAAGACGCGCTTCCGCCAAGGACCGCACGGAATGCGAACCCATCAGCTACTCAGATTCTACAACTTATTTTAACGATTCCCTCTCCTGTTCTGACAACTCCGAGGAGGACGACAGTGAGAGTTACCTGGGGCACTGGTTTAAGGAAACTCTTTCTCCAGAAACCCATGACGATAATGCAAATACATCCACACAAGAGCGTGGGGACCAGAAGAGCGCCCTTGTCCCCAAGCTAGATGAGCCACATGAATATTTAGACTTGGCCGCAGACATATTCTGTTTTCTGGATCAATTTTTGGCCAATCGACATGTCTACATGCAGCGCTATGTAAAGGCCGGAGTCAGTGATCAGCAAATGCTGTTAATGGCAAATATAATTAAAGATTTCGATCGTGACGTGATGCGAAATGAGAGCGACCAGGGGTCGGGAAATGCTCCTGCTGCTAGTGCAGGACCAGGAACCTCTACAGGTGCATCTACCAAGTGGCAGACCTCGATGATTCGATTTTCGGGAGCTGCAGGCCGCTATATTCACAATTTGATTTCCACTTCATTGCTCTCCGAACAATTGCAGTCGAATCTGCTGCAGCACTTGTCCATATCGCCATGGTCTACTGATACAAACACCTGGCCTCTGCAAGTGTATCCAAGTACCCTGTCCGTGCTTGTGCAAATCCTTTTGCTGAAGCCGACACAAGAGAAGGAAGCCGCCTGCCTGTCCGTGTGGCACCGCCTTATCAACACCTTGGTGGAAGGAGTTTGCTCTTGGACTGCCGCCAGTGATTCAGACTATGAAGACCTAAACATTGAGCACGCCCAACTGCTGCTTTTCCTATTTCACTCGCTAAATCTAATGCAAAAGAAATCCATTCTGCTCCTAACGGCTGGCGGTGTTATCCGTTGTGCAGAAGTTTGTCGTGGAATCAGCGGGGATAGACCCGTAAAAAACAGCCAAATGATGCTGCTGTCCCGCTTGCTTCTGTTTTTGGAGTATCTTATGAAGCACTTGTACAATGCGCCTCCGGAATTGCTAGACCAGGTGCGCTGGAATCTTTTTAGTGTGAGCAGCATGCCGGAGAACCAAAAGGTTACGGATCTGTTCAACAGCCGCACCAAACTGAATTCCTATTGCCGCCAAGATATTGAGGAAAAATTCCGAAAGTCGGCCGGCGAATATGGCTCATGTAAGTGAGAATATAACCTTGAATCCCAGCGCTACTCTACTATCTCGAACATCTTGTTTTACAGCAATTCGCCCAACTTTTTACTCTCTGGTAATGGGTGATCCCGAGAAAAACTACTGGGTTCAGGAATTTAAGCTAGATGGTTTAGCCTGGAACTTCATTCTCTGCACACCAGATAAGCTTAAGTATCCACTGCTGGTGGATGCTTTGACAGACATTCTTTCCATCACCGACATGTCGATGTATTCCAAGGAAAAGGAAAAGGAAGCGAGCATGCACAATCTTTGCGCGATGCAGTATTGCTTTACGATTGCATGGAAGCTGATTTTGGGTTTGCCACCCTCTACATCTCACGTAGAGTCGCTGAAGGTAGACCGACCACCCAATCTGCACTCACTGATCTGGGGTATACGGCTACCTCTGGCCAGTTCCCACTACCTAGTAGTTAGCAGTCTAATCAAGCAGGGAATGTATACCCAATACGCTGAGACGTTGTGGAGTCAAGTGGGCGATATAGCTGCCGATATAAAATATAGTCTCAAACAAACGATTCTTGGTGTGGAAGCGTTCAATAGTCAAATGAATGGAAACGGTAAGTACTAAAAGCCATAATAAAACCAAAAATCTATTGAAAATATTCAATCTGCAGGAACTCCCCGCCTCTCCGATCTCATCCTTTTTGATTCTTTGGTCGCCCACATGCAGGCGGTGGCCTGGGCAAACAAGGAGGGCTACAAGTGGCCGCGAAAAGAGAGCGAAGATGCCTCTGGCGAGCAGTCCTCCGCGGGTACCTCTTTAACTTCATCGTCAAACGATCCGGAACTGTATTCTTCGAATGAGTCAATTGATGATCAAAAATTAAAGCAAGAAGAGGATGGTAAGCTTCCGAGCGATCTGCAGAAGTATAACCAACTTGTAAACGAGCTTATAGTAAAGCTTATGAATTCGTACCGATTGCTTTCGGTGATCGTGCGTGGCCAGATGCTGAAGCAGTTGTCGAGCTCAACACCGGAGAAGGCATTGAATTTGATTGTGCCCGTTGTAAGCGACAAGCCAGCAATTATGTTGGAACTACATGCAGCTTTTCTAAAACTTCTGCCCAACGAGGACAAACAACTTATAGCAAACGAGTGGCCGAAG